GTAAATAAATAAATAAATAAATAAAAATACAGAAACAGAATTTGCTAAAATGCTACTGTGCCAAAGACTGAAGGCAAGAGTGGAGAAGTAACCCCCCCCACACACACACACACACCCATCCCCCGTACCCCCACCCCCACACGCTTATAAACCTTCTGAGAGCTCAGGGTGTTCATTTCCGCTGTTCTGTGGTAAACCACAGCTGGGCTGAAGCTGCAGAAACGCAATATGAATAGAGAAGGTGGGGGTGGGATCTGAGGAGTTAAATTGCTCTGCAAACTAACAGAAAAATGGCCTCTGGTGGCACTTTCCTTTTTAAAATTAGTTCTGGACTAATTGATCATTTTGGTATTGTGCTGGCTAGGTTTTTGTCAACTTGACACAAACTGGGGTCACCTGGAAAGAGAACCCCAGGTAAAGAATTGCATCCATCACATTGGCCAATTGGCAAGTCCACGAGACATGCTTTGATTCATGACTGACGTGGGAGAGTCTAGCCCACTGTGGGCAGTGTCACGCCTAGGCAGGTAGTCCTGGAACTGTAAGAAAATAAGCTGAGAAAACCATTAAATAACATTGCTTCTTAGTCTCTGCTTCAGTTCCTGCCTCTAGGTTAAAGCTTGAGTTCCTGCCCAGACTTCCTTCACTAATTGGGTGTGGTATGAAAGTTCTTAGTTTCCAAGAATTTAGAGAGTATGCTAAACTGTTCAAGGTCTCGAAGCTAGTTGCTAGTCACAAACAGAAATGAAACTAAAACACCCCCTACTTCCTTCTCCCTCCCACCTTACCAAGCAGGCCTGTGTGTGTATGTATGTGTATGTGTGTGTCTCTCACAATCCTACCTTTGAATTCTTCATGAAGTCATGATGTTAGCCACATTACAAGCCCTTTCCATCACCCAAATTCTTCTGCCCCATGTTTAATCCCAGCAACAGAAAGAAAACTAGGTACAAATTTCAAGACATAATGTTCACTCTTGGGATCTGCATGTGTTCACAGGGCTGGGAAGGGGGCGGGGTGCTCAAGCCAACTGCTAAATTTGCTCACTTGGTTATGTTTCTTGTTCTGTGTTCAAAACCCAGACAGTATAGCTAGCAGACCCAGAGGGTAGAAAGCAGGTTCAGGCCTGCCTACAAGGAAGAATCTCCTCACTGGTGATGATTGCCTTGGCCAAGAAAACGCTTAGTCTTTATTGGTATGTTAGAATGGGATGCTACCAAAAACAGCATCCTAGATGAAATTTGAGATTATATCTGAGTGTTTCACAAGGCAGTTTGCTTATGTAACAATAGCAATGCTGCCATAAATTTCCTATCTTTTTATTTAATCCTCAGCTACCTGAGTCTAGGCTCAGGGGGAAAAAAAAAAAAAAAAAAAAAAAAAGCTATATCAGTGGTTCTCAACCTGTGGGTCTCAATCCACATTGGCAAGCCTCTGTCTCCAAAAATATTTACCTTATGACTCATAACGGTAGCAAAATGACAATTCTGGTATGGCAATGAAAATAATTTTAGGGTTGAGTGGTCACCACAACATGAGGAATTGTATAAAAGGGTGGCAGCATTAGGAAGGTTGAGAACCACTGTGCAAAAAGGGATGTTATCTCTGTCCTTTCCAAGTATCCTCTCCTGTTGACCCCACACTTTTCAGGTCAACAGCCTGTGTTGTAATTACTCTTAGGCTCAGCTCATAGCTCCTTTATCATAGTTAGACCCTTGATTGCCTTAGCTTTATATCATTAACCCTATTACACATAGCAGGAGTTTAGTGTATTGAATTAAGGTCTGTTTGATCTTTCCAAACCTCTACAATCAAAGAGACAGAAATGTCTCCCATCAGCCTCTCTTAATAGGTTTCTAAGAACTTAGAGTATCGTGCCCAAATTCTGAAACCCCAAAGTCACCAAGAGGCCCATTTCGATGCAAAAGCAAAGAGTCTTTTATTGCAGTTGTTTAACAAGATAACCCCATTAGCTCAGGCCCTTCATCCATCCACCATGCCACCAGCTGGTGAAAGACCATGAGAAACCAGGAGACGGGGATCTTCTAGGGAAGCATAAAGGGAGTTTTTAGGGATACTCAACAGTCTCAGGATTGGTGTGCTTCCAGGCTTGGACGACCTGCCCTGTGTTGGTTGGTCAACTGGTTGTTATGGCCTGTAGATCCTCCCAGGGTGGTTGCTATGCTCTGCACGTCACTATTGTGCACTTGTCTGTAAAGCACACCCAGAGCTGTGAAGCAGGGCCCCGCCAGCTAACTTGTGATTGGTTCCTTGCCATGAGGAGGGCATATGACCTCCTACTGACCAGAACAGGAGGAGCAAGGTCAGGCGAGCACATGTTAGCCTGTCATAGCTGCTAAAACTCTGGGCTGGTCCCTTCAAGAGTATGCTAAGCTGTTCAAGGACTCACAGCTAGTTGCTAGTCACAAACAGAAATGAAACTAAAACACTCCCACCTCTTTCCCCTCCCTCCCTCACCAAGCATGCCTGTGTATACATCTCACAATTCCACCTTTGTCTGGATGCTAACTAAATACAACAGTCCCCTCTTACTCCTGGCTTTACTTTCTGTAACTTCAGTCACTCATGGTCAGCCACCATCTGAAAATATTACATAGAAAATTCTAGAATCAAACAATTCATAGGTTTTAAGTTGTACACTATGTCTGAAGAACATCATGAAATTTTGCACCACTGCAAATTATTCTAGGCTGAAAGTCACCCCACCTTTGACCAGTATATACATACAGTTGTTTCGGTCATCAGTCATTGATCACTTAATAACTGTTTTAATAACTTAATAAGTTTTTTTTTCAGGTAAACTTTAGATATTGGCCCCACTGCATATTGTAGTGATTCTGCAAAGTTTATCAGTAAATACTCTTAATTGGGTATTTATTGATTTATTAGCATAGTCTCTTACTTGCATAAATTGTAACTTCAGCTTTACCGCTATGTCTGTATAGGAAAGTAGTCTGTACAGAGCACTCATTCAGATACCCACCGATAAAGCAGGAATCATTGTATTCCCACCACTGCTTGCACATGGGATTCCAACAAAAAGTGTTTACAAAAACATTTGCAAGTCTCTTTGGTGGAGACTCCTGATGGTAATCTTGGCTGTCAAATTGACTACATCTGGAATCAACAAAAAGCCAAGCAGCTGGGCACTCCTGGGAGGGATTTTCATAATCACTATTTGTAGCAGGATAACCCACTCTAAATTGAGCCACGCCTTCTGGTGGCAGCTCACATACAAAAGGGACCTGGAAGAATTCCTCTTCAGGAATACTCCAAGGGCTCCAACTCCAGGATCTGAGAGCTGACACATCCTGCCTTGGAGACTGAACAGCTACCAGACTCTCACCCTTGCTGGCACAAGACAGTCATTGTGGGACCCCTCAGGCCACATCCTCTAAGCCAGTCTAATAAATCCCCTTTCAATACAGATAATCTGTCATTTCTGTTTTCTGACTAATACACGACTTATTTCTGAAGACCACAGAAATTCCTTTGGGACTACCTCCCAGTTCAGACTCTGATGCCACCTTATACAAGAATCTGTGTTTCATAGGTGCTGTGTCACCGAGAAGCACTGACGAGACAGGGTTAAGAACAAAATGAGCTGCAAGCCATATATGGAGAAATCCAGGGCATCCGTTTCAAAACCACTCGATGTTCTGCTTTCAGGCTTCTCAAGCTGAACGCTGGCCATGAAGAAACAGAATGCTGAAGACAGGTAGCTCAGTGGCAGAGCCCTTACCCAGCGCAAAGGACCCTGGGTTCAACCTCTGAAAACTGAGAAGACTAAGCATTTTATCAGAACACCTGGACCTCTGGGTTCAGGGTCCAGCCTCAGCCAGAGAGATCATGCAGGCCATCCTTGCTATGATGTTCTGCATGGCTTCTTCCGTTTCTAGTTCTTCATATACAGCACAGACTTTGCCCGATATAACCAATGAGGATTTCCTTCAAGAATGTGTTCAAACTCACAACCAACGTCGGTCAAAAGTGAATCCGACGGCCAGGAATATGCTGTACATGGTGAGTGCACTAACAGTATTTGTAGCACGAGTCTCTCAGAGGCAGCTTGCCTGCGTTAAGCTGGCTGTGATTTCTGGGTAATCCTGAATTGGTTGGTTGGTTGGTTGGTTGGTTGTTTTGCTTCTAACTACTGTGTGCAGTAATCTCAGTGAGTAATCAAAACCCACCCGTGGAGCCCTTCCCCAACTCTGTTTTAAGCAATGCCACAGGCACGATTCAGTTCTTTCTGGACACTTCTTTTCCCCAGCCAGGAGCAGCAGACTTCTCCTTGTCATTTTTTTTAATCCTGTTAAATACTTGTGAATTTTTTTTATTTTTTGGTGTCTTTTTTTCCCCTTTATCATCATGCTCTGTATAAAATAATTGTGGTTTCATTATAATTTTATACAATGTGCTTTGATTATACTCATTCCATTGGCTCTCTATCTTGGTCCTCTTCTGTGGGGAGCCACAGCCCCAAGATAGCGCCTGACTGGATGCCAGGGAGACCGAGCTTAGCTGTAAACAAGCCTTATGTGGAAGCGCTTAGTGGATCTGGTGTGCCTCCTCCAGCTGTGACCAGTCCAGGATCGCCAGGTGGCGTGAGCTAATTGGGTAATGAGCTTGCTATCCTGGATTGTCAGGTGGTGTGAGTTCATTGGGGAATAAGCTTGCTTTTAAAGGCTTGCCAGGGGGCTGGGAGAGGCAGAAGCAGAGAGAGAAGCTGAGGTAGAAGGAGAATGAGAAGCTGATGTTCAAGGTTCCTGAATAAACTGCTTGAAGAGTCGTGGTCATGTTTCTCTTGCTGGTCGAGATAGATGCGACGAGTGGTGGCCCGTACGGGGAACCTCCATGGGTGAACGGCTCAGAACTTCCTGCAGTCAGGGCAGTCGACTGGTAAGTCCCAGGTAAGTTGGGACCAAGTTAAGGACCTCGGTAAAGAGGCAATAAGGTCTCCAGTAAGGAGCGATAAAGTCCCGTGAACGGACAAAGTAGAAGTAACCAAAAGTTGAAAGTATGGGGAATTCGACATCGAAACCCATTTATCTCGCTCTTCAAGAGCTGTTGCACTCTAAAGGGCTGAAGCTAAAGAAGAGTACATTAGAAAGATTTCTTGGGGAGGATGAGACCGTGGTCCTCTGGTTTGCCGTCTCGGGCAATCTTGCTACCAGTTGCTGGGACAAGCTTGGAAAAGATCTAGATTTACCTGGGCACAGAGAACGCTGAAGCCAGGGACGCGGCCTATTTGGAAAATGGTTCGCAGCTGTCTAGAGGATCAAAGATGCCGCAAGGCTGTAGAAAAGGGGCAGGAGACGTTAGAACAACTGAAGGAAATAAACAGATGCAAGTCATGGGGCCTGTGCATCGCGATTTACCATTGCTGTCAGCCCTACCCAATCATGAAGAACCGGATTTGTGATGTGTGCAGGATAGTGTTAGATTTGCTTTTACTTTACATTCTATTCTCCATACCCCATTATATGAGTGGGTGGTTTTACCCCAGGGTATGGCCAATAGCCCCACTGTGTGTCAGCTTTTCGTGTGTCATGCTATTGCTCCTATTAGAAATACCCTGCTGTGAGATGTGTCCACTATATGGATGACATTCTGTTAACTAGTAAGGAGTTAAAATTGCTGCACTTAGCATATGGAGACTGCGTTGGATATCCAATCTACCTTTAATGCTCAATTGAAAGGTGGCATTATGGTTTTGAATCAACGCATTGATCTAGAACAGGAACAATTGAATACTTTATGGCAACTGGCACAGTTGGGATGTGAATGGAGAATGCCTGGTTTGTGTGAAACAGCTGTTTCCTATCAGAATTATTCCTTAGCAGCAAACATGTCTTAAACAACTTTCACAGTATCTTCTAGGCAACTGGTCTGGGGATTTTGACAAGCTGATGCAGGAGTTGAGACTCTTCCATAGTGCACGTGAATTCCACCAGGGTCGACATCTCGGTTTCGGAGGGGCTGTCTGCGTGGATCACTCAAGCCATGAATTATCTGAAAGAGTGGGCAG